TAAAATGTAAAAGGAAATTTGAGGAAAATCATGAAGTGAACAATGAATATCTGCATCTGTGCTTAGAATTAAGCACTACATCATATTTGCTCATTTCTGGTTAGAAAGTTTGAATAGTAAATGAATTTTAAAAAACAAGCCTTGCTACTGTCTTTTAAAAAAATCTCAATGATATTGAGAATTAATACATTAAATTTGCCATGAACTATTAATCGTATATATTCATCAAACTGCTCCTTACAGATCTCCTGTCCTTCCCTACATTTTAAGTTGAATCCCATATAAGTAGAGGGAAAAATTAACGTTATTATTTACCTGCTAATATTCTACTATGGACATACATAATATCTTCTGTCAAAAGTTAGGGATATACCAGATAGTTTTCCAAAATTTCCAAAACCAGCTACTACCTGGAAATCTTTGTCAAATGTTTCCACATAGGTAGAAATCTAAGGTTCTTTTCAGAAGGAACTCTTGAAAGTTCCTCTAAGACAACTCAAAATACTAAGTCACTAAATTGTTCTCATCCTCTGCAACCGTCTCTTTTCTCTTGGCCCACAATCAATTGATTAAAATAAAAAGACCCTAAGGTGGAAGCAGTAAGAAAAAATCCAGATCTTTTTTTCATAATGAATGCCAGCGAAAGTACCATAAAGTCCTGAGGTGACATAGAACTTATGTTTTAAAATTCCATGATCTTTGTGGAGGCAATCAACCTCCTCATAAATAAATAAAATATTACGAATAAAAATAATCAGTCACATTGTTTGTTGATTCCTGACAGCTATACTAAGAGCCTGAGACTCCAGTAACCATGCTTTGGATGGAAGACTTTGTGCAAATGGCTGCTCTTGATCCCCTCAGGAACAAAGGGGCAAGAACAAAGTAGCTGAGGTTCTAAAACAAAGTACTATTGACATCTTCAATCTGTTCAGCATGCCTGAAGTGGAGCAGGGTTTTTTGGCTCAATTATACATATTTTATAGAGTACTGTCCTGGTTTGACACTGGCCCAACACCAGACACCCAGCAGAGCTGATTGCTCACCCTCCCCTGCTAAAGCTGGGCAGCAGAGAGGGGGAAAAAATAATGAAGGGTTAATGAGTGAGATAAGGACCAGGAAAAGTATTTCAAGGGCAAAATAGGCTCAATTTAAAGTTGCAAGGTGCATTTATTACTAACAGAATCAGAGGAGGATAATGAGAAGTAAAATAAGCCCTTAAAACACCTTTTCTTCCTTCTCCCAGCCCCTCCCTCCTTCCCACCAACAGTACAGGGAGACAGGGCATGATGGTTTTGGTCAATTCATCACCAAGATTTTCCTCTGCTGCTCAGGGAGAGGAGTCCTTTCCCTGTGAGGCTGTGGGGTCCCTCCCACAGGAGACAGCTCCCAGTGAACTTCTGCAGTGCTCTCACAAGCAGCAGCCAAACCACCCCTGCTGCAGCCTGGATTCCCCCACAGGCACACACTGCTCCCAAAGCTGCTGTGCCAGGCTCACTCTGCCACGGCTGCAGCCTCCAGGGCCAGGCTGCTCCAGCCTGGGAGCAGGGCCCCTCTCCCACCGCTCTGCCATGGATCACAGCCTGCTCCAGGCACCCCTGCTCTGGCATGGGCACCTCCCAGGGGCTGGGGGTGATCTCTGCATCCCCATGGATCTCTGCATCCCCATGGATCCCCAGGGGCTGGGGGTGATCTCTGCATCCCCATGGATCNGATCTCTGCATCCCCATGGATCCCCAGGGGCTGGGGGTGATCTCTGCATCCCCATGGATCTCTGCATCCTCATGGATCCATAGGGGCTGGGGGTGATCTCTGCATCCCCAGGGATCCCCAGGGGCTGGGGGTGGATCTCTGCATCCCCATGGATCCCCAGGGGCTGCAGGGACACAGCTGCTTCCCCATGGTCTGCAGAGGAATCTCAGCTCTGGCACCTGGAGCAGCTCTCCTTCTCCACTGACCTTGGTGTTTTCCTCACATGTTCTCACCTCCTCCTCCTCTTTTCTAACTAGAAGCAAAACCCACGTGACTTTGTTTTGATTTTCTTCTTAAATATGCCACCCCAGAGATGTTACCAGCCTCTCTCGTTGTCCCAGTCTTGGCCAGCAGCATGTCCATCTTCAGAGCCACCAGCCTTTGGCTCTGCTGGACATGGTGGAAGCTTCCGGCAGCTTCTCACAGGAGCCACCTCTGTGACCGCCCTGCTGCTGAAAACCAGGCCTTGCACAACCAATCCAGGTACCAAAATGGTCCTGAAGAGGCCATTACAGAGGTGGAAATGCTCCCTTCCAGCCTGACCTGCTGGTCTGTACCAGAAGGACTCCACAAGTACACCCATCTGAATTAGAAGTGGTGTTTACAGAGATACAAGAGCTCTTTTACAGACAGAAATTTATTATCCCCTTTGATTTACTACCCTTCAAGGATGGTGTCATGTAACCATACAGCCAGAGAGGGATCAGCAGAGTGGGACTGAGTGAGTGGAGCTGCTGCAGAGTGCCAGCCCTGGAGCCTCACTGAGCCAAGCAGCCAGCCAGCAGCCCCACATCGCTGTCCATCAGCGTGCATCTGCTCCCGTGGCACCAGTGGCAGCACTGATTCCGTGCTCCTACTGCCATTTAAACGGGTGGCTAATGACTGAGAGTGACATCAGGGCCACAGAGATGTACCTAAGCATCTACAGATGCTGCAGTTCCTTTCCCAGCAGAAGGCCAGGCACTAAGCTGTTCCTTTTTCTTTTCCTGCAAGGCAATCTCTGTCCTTATTGCTCTAAGGCCTGCCTATAACAAGAGCAAGAATTTCTGATTCCCAAATATTGGGATATTGGGACACAAGACAGATGATGGACTTTGGCCCTGGTTAGCACGCGAGATTTGAAAACAGGATGCCTTGGCAATAGCAAATAGAACTTTGAGTATTAAATCAAGATTGCAAGAGGATTAAATCAGACTGGTTTACCGTAAAAAGAGAATTACATCAAACTCCGCAAGCAAGAAATGTAAAATGTATAAGTTTGTTTATGTGACTTTTTAACCTAATCGTTGCATTTAAACATTACTAGACTTCCTAAAATACTATATAAGCATTTGTATCCCACAATAAAATCTGATTCTTTGACCATCTCACCGAGTCCCCGTCATGGCCACTCTTACAGGCACTTGTTTTCTCTTGAATAAAGAGTCCTAAATTTTAAAATTCAAATTACTACAAGGTATATTAAGTAACTGAACAGTCCCAAGTTAAAATCCAACTATCATTTAATCATGAATGAGTTTTAATTTTTAAATAATTAAATAGGCATGATAACTTAATAAACTATCAGCCAGAATTGGTTTCTCTCTCCAGGCTCACATGCAATAGAAATAATACAACTGCCTGTAACATCAAACCAGAACAGTAAACTGAAGGTGTGATTACTGATTTGGAAAATACAGGATAATTTTGTGTCAACAGTACCACCTGCTGGATATCATGAAGATAAGAGGCAGAGACTAATCAACATTTATAAAAGTCAGATTGTGGCACAACTCAGTACTAGTCTTGCACAAATGCCCGCATAACTAAACTGTTAGAAATGAATAGATAACAAATTTTCAGATCTTCTAATGCACTCCCAAAACCCTGCATAATGGCCACAGACATTTTCAATACATATTTTTTCTTAAATCAGATATTCAAAACTCATTAAGCATAATTAATCAGATGAATAAAAAATTCAAACCAATCCACCTAACAGCCTAATTTAAAAGCAAAGCTACTACTATTAATGACTGTATTAAGTATAGGTTTTTTAAACTTAATTACACAACTAATATGTTATATCATTACAATCTTATTTAGCAGGGTGGGAGGAATAGACAAAAACGCCCTCAAAGCACTAAGACAAACAAACCCGCTCCCCCCATCTATTGCTATTAAGGTACTGAGAAATCCCAAAAATAAGCAGCTATTAAAGGACCTCAATCCAAGTGACTTCGCTGAAAGGTTAAAGCTTCAGCAAGAAAATAATTAACCTTGAAACTCCCTAACATATAGGCCCTCTGAAAAAGAAAATTGTTATCATGTTTCTGCTACTTCTCAATAGAGAACTTTCTGACTATATTATTGTATTGGTTTTGCACAGCCTGGTTTTCATCTGCTAGATGTGGGGCAGTTACCTTCTGTTAATTGGGCCACCTCTTAAAAACATTTGGG